CGGTCTCTTCCTGTATCAACAATGCGCAACCTCCTGAGTTTTACTCAACAGGAGCTCAAATCCAAACCACGATTGATGGGGAGACCTCAAGTGCCGCGAAAGAATTACACCGCAGAAGATTATCTCATCGCGTCTTTCGACTTCCCTCTCCGTGTTTGCGCTTGGCTTGCCCAGATCAAGGCTAACATGTGGGTTCGCAATGGAATCAGCCTGCGACACCAAGCCAGCACGTATCGGGGTGTCGGTCAACGAGATGTATCTCATCATCGGGATATCTTTTTGCTTCAGACAGCTTTGGTGATTTGTGACCCCAGCCGAGTACTGGTCTCGATCATAGACCGCTTTGGAATGGAAAGTTGGGTCAAGGGCTTATTCGAGCTCAAATCTGAAGCTCAAGATGATGCCCAGCACCTTGATGTTGTTGAAGATATGATTCATCTCCTCATCGTCTTGCTCAGCGACCGGACCTCTTTGATATCTTCAGAGGATGAGACCAAATCCAGGCTCTTGGCCATGCGCCGCGACATTACTCATGTATTGTGTTTCAAGCCCCTATCGTTCAACGAGATCTGTAACAAACTGCCTGAGAAATACCAAGAGCAAGAGGACTTCCACCGAGTGCTTGATGAGATGGCCACTTTCAAACCACCAGAGGGTGTCTCCGATGTTGGTACTTTCGAACTTCGACCCGAGTATATCGAGGAGATTGACCCCTACATCGCTCACTACAACAAGAACCAGCGTGAGGAGTCGGAGCTGGCTTACCGAAAGAAGATGGCGAAACGAACAGGAAAGACTACTGAAGAAATAGTATACGAGCCCAAGGCCCGACCAGTCCCTTCGGGCATGTTTGAGGACTTGGGCGCTTTCACAAGTACTGGCATGTTTGCTCAAATCATCTACTACTCACTCCTTTACCCCCTGGTAGCCGGCAAGTTTACTCCCTCGGTTCCCTTTACTCGACTGGAAACATTTCTCCAGGTTGTCTTGCATCTTATGCTTATCGCCATTCTCGAGGACAAGTCGAGTGACGATGACATGGGCGAAGAATCACCAAAGTCCTTTGTCCACATCGCCCTCACAAAGTTCGGCCGCAGTAACTTTATGCCTGAAGCCCACAGTTCAAGGACAATCGTGTCTCTGCTGAATATGATGTCAACCAAGGACGAGTTCAAGGCAGTTCATCCCAAAATCGCGCTCGTTCTGAAGCGTCTGCGCCAGAAACGCCCTCGCACCTTTGAGACAGCGTATGTAAACTTGGGTGCTTCCGTAGACCGCATAAGCACTGCCTCACCAGCAAACACATCTGCTGAGGAAGAGCGCGAGAGAAGAAAGAAGGCGGCTCTGAGTCGTCAAGCGAAGGTCATGGCGCAATTTCAACAGCAGCAGAAGAGCTTCATGGAAAACCAGGCTTCTTTTGATTGGGGCAGTGATATTGATGAAGATGAGGACGAAGAAGGCGATGGTAAGCAAACGGAGGACCGAAAACACAACTGGAAGTACCCAGTGGGAACTTGCATCCTGTGTCAGGAGGAGCCGGACGACCGTCATCTCTACGGAACTTTTGCTCACTTCAACGAAAGCCGCATCCTCCGACAGACAGATTTCCAAGACCCTGATTTCGTTCGCGAAGCATCACAAACACCATGCAGTCTTGATCGATCTGCCGAGGATGTTCGACCATTCGGTATTGCTCACGAGAACCGCAAGATGGTGGAAAAAATCAACGCTCAAGGCGAAACGTTTCTCGCAGAGAGGCAGACAATCGGAAAGGGTTTTCCTTCAAACGTCTGTCGGTCAGGCCCAGTAGCAAGTGGTTGCGGGCACATGATGCATTATCGTTGCTTTGAAGTTTACTATGAAGCGACTGTTCGCCGCCATACGCATCAGATTGCCAGGCATCACCCAGAAGACACTAAGCGCAATGAGTTTGTCTGTCCTCTGTGCAAGGCCCTTGGCAATGCATTTGTGCCCATTATCTGGAAGGGCATAGACGAGTCATACCCAGGTTACCTACAGTCTCAAGGTACATTCGAAGAATTTGTTGAGAAGCAAATGGGATCTGCTTACTGGATTGGTGGAAGCAAGGCACGGGAGGACGAGCCTACTGTGCCTGACATGTTTACTCCAAGTCTCCCGGGAAGCCTCGTCGAGTCCTTGCTCCCAGCCCAAGCTTCGAGCGACACCTTATGGGGAAGAGATGATGCAGAATCCCATTCGTCAACTGTCGGCACACCTGCGAGCTACGCATTTTCTGACTCAGTTACCCCTGAGCCGGCGCAGCCTCAGCCCGCCACTACTACTACCAACAACAACACAGATGGCAGCCAGTTGATGAACGAGCTATTAGCAGCCTATCGCCGACTGAGGAATACACTCCGTGTCAACGGTCTTCGTACTAGCCACCTCATTGACGCTAAGGGCGACAATGTTGGTGAATTATGCGCCAGCGATACACTGGTGAGGTCTGTGGGCTTCACCATCTCTTCAATTGAGGTCCAGCAGCGAGGCATTGAAGCCCAGCCAGGCATGACACTCCTAGAGAAGATCCCTGAACACATTTTGTCGCACCTTAGAGTCCTATCAGAGACTGTATCTTCGTACATCGCTGTTGGGGCGCAGTCTGGTGGTGGCGAGAACAAGATCGAAACCGAATTCAGGAAGGACAGCGAGCGGCAACACTGTCAGCTGTTTATGTCGAGATATTTTGGTACTGGAACTCCCTATGCTCGCCGACCTCTGGATGTGTACCCTCCACTACTGAGCATGGACTCGTTCCTATTCTTAGTGGAATGCTCCTACGGTTTAGTGCCGCTCCAGAAAGCTGAAATTTCTCACGTTCTTCGGCTGTGTTATCTGGCAGAACTTGTTAAGCTGGTGTATCACATGGGTCGCAATATTCCTGTCGCTAGCTGGGTTGGCAATCTCACCAACCGCCATACGCAGGACCCGGCCATCAACAATTTTGCAGACTTTGCCCTCGGCGTTACGAAGACTGGGGTCGATTTCCATGCGGCCCAATTCCCTGAGGGTGTTGAATTTGGCGAGAACCGTGGCTTCCAGCAACCAGGTGTGGACACTCTGGAGAGCTGGTATACCTTTTCCAAGAAATATGCTCTCACCTTCCTACGGAAATGTGTCATTTTCCTGTATGTCAAGTATGGCGTAGATTTCAACAGTCACGTCTCGCCTTCGCCAGATGCTGATGAGCTGGAGCGCCTCACTGAAGCTCTTCGGGTTCCAACATTTGACGAGATGTGTGCTGCCATCACAGATAACGCGTCAGCTTGTGGCTGGCCTCAGACAACTTCTGCACTGGTGTCTGGTTGGGTGAAGCATCAAGTTATGTGGCCTGGAGACTATAGTGAGATTCCTCTCTCGGCAATGGTAAGCCACCCAGGAATCTTCGAACTTATTGGATTGCCAAAGAATTACGATGCGCTCATAGAGGAAGCTACCAGACGAAAATGCCCTACCACTGGAAAGGAGCTCACAGATCCTGTCATATGCCTTTTCTGTGGAGAACTATCTTGCAGCCAAGGCACATGTTGCCAGAAGATGGACAATTCTGCCGAACGAACAGAGCACACCAAGATTGGTGGTGCACAGCAGCATATGCGCAAGTAAGCGATGGCCAGCTATTATATTGTGGTCAGGATACTAATAAGATTTAGGTGTCAACGGAATATTGGAGTGTTCCTCAATGTGCGCAAATGCTCGGTGGTATACCTTTTCCGACTTTCGGGATCCTTCACGCCAGCTCCTTATATCGACAAGTACGGAGAGACGGATCCTCAGCTGCGTCATGGGCGACAGCTCTTCCTGAACCAGAAACGATATGACTCCATGATACGAAATACGGTGCTCAACCACGGGGTACCGAGCTTGATTAGCCGCAAGTTGGAGGCGGAGATCAACAATGGCGGATGGGATACTTTGTAGTATACAAACGGAGCTATTGGTATGAGGCAAGTCTATGCTTTACATTGGGGCCGGGGCTAGCGAGTATGTAAAGGGCTTCGGGCCATGATGTGATAAATGGTGTAAGACAATTGGTTTTGGGCTTCTATATGCTATGTGAGTAGTGATAGCATGCAACGATAACAGATGCCTCATGGTATTATGAAACTTTCGTGTGAGTTTCCAGTAATTCATAGTATCTCACGTTAACAAGTTATTATATCTCGTTTCAATATACTTATACACCTACCTATAGTACCTTATATAAACAAGATAACTATCACACCTAGTAATTACATACTGTAGGCAGGTGGTATTTATTTATTACTGTCATTGACATATATCAATAACAGTAGAGAGCACAGTGTAATGCAAGCCTCAGACTGTATAACCCTGAGCTTTGGCCAATCATATCGCGCGGTCGCTCGTGCAGTCGCGTCTTAGCCGTGGCTCAACTGTACTCAAGCCTCTTTTGGAACGAAATAAACGTGAGGGTAAACCAACCGACAAGGAAAGCGACAGTAGCTACGCAGCAACCATCTTTCCTTCCTTCTTTCCATCTCTAAAACGAACCCCCTCCTTCCTCTTGATCCTCGTTCCCCCCTTCCACCCCCCTTTTTGTTGTTCAAGTTCTTTTGTTTTTGTGATACTCAATAAACTGAAACTAGGTACCTACTTCTCGCTCGTAATTTCCCTTGGGTGGACGTCCGCCTCCACTTGCTTGCTCTGGCAAGAGAAACAGAGCACCCCGAACCTTCGAAAAAATGGCAGGCAGACGTTCAGGTCGCGCTGCCGCCAAGCGGGCTGCAGCTGCTCTAGGTGAGTGCGATTGCTCTCTTGTAACATGCAGATCCATACAATCTTTCAACACCCACGCAAAGTACGAAGACAATCAATTCCCACGCATAAATCTATCAATACTTTTCTTTAATCCCTTCATTTCTTTACTTGCTGGCGCTTCTTATGGTTTTCTTTTCCTTTTTTCCCACCACACATTTTCTCCTGTCGCGCTGCGTGATTGCGCAAGTCGCAACTCAACAATGGCGCCCCGTGGAAAGATTCGCTTGAAGCTGACGCGAAGCGCCAAATCAGAGAGCACGCCAAAGTCATTCGCAGACCTCGAAGATGAAGCTATGCCCGATGCCGGAAACAGTCCCTTGGACTCCAAGCGACAGCAGGTGCCCGACCCGGATGATGAGAAGGACGAGGATCACCAGCCAAAGGAAGAGTCGGGGGATGAAGATGATGCCGCCGACGTGGCTGAAAAGGACGACGAATCCGTCAAGGAACCTACGCCTCCCCCTCAGCTCATGGTCCGTCGCAAAAGGCTTGGTCGTCCTCCTAAGAACAGACCTCCCGATTGGGATAACATGATCTCTGTTCCCGCCGACGAAGCCAACACCCCGCGACGCCGAGGGAGAGGTGGATGGCGAGGTAGGGGTGGTCGTAAAGGAGGACCTGCTGCACCCAAAGCCGAGCAAGTTATCGACCAGGAGGGAACTGTTGCCGAGATCGCAAACGATGAGTGCGTTTTGCCCGAAGATGCAGAGGGTGAGACCAAGGTGGACAAGTTGGGCAACCTCCAGGGCGGACGTGATTATCGATGCCGAACTTTCACGGTTACCGGTCGTGGGGACAGGCTCTACATGCTTTCTACAGAACCAGCTCGATGCGTTGGCTTCAGGGACAGTTACCTTTTTTTCACAAAGCACCGCAAACTCTACAAGATTATTGTGGATGACGATGAGAAGCGGGACATGATTGAGCGAGATATCATCCCTCACTCGTACAAGGGTCGTTCCATAGGAATCGTAACGGCGCGATCGGTCTTTCGCGAATTTGGTGCTCGCATCATTGTGGGTGGAAAGCGCATCATCGACGACTACAACGTTGCCCAGGCTCGCGCTGATGGCGCCGTCGAGGGCCAGCTTGCGGACCCAGATGATCATTTCGTCGAGGGAGAGCCGTACAACAAGAACCAGTACGTTGCGTGGCACGGAGCCAGTGCCGTGTACCACACGAATGTCCCATCAGTGCCGGTTCCCAATGGCAAGATCGAGTCAAAGAAACGCAAGGTAAATGTCAACGACATGAATTGGATGTTGGAACATGCCCGTGAAGCCAGGTACGTAAACCTTCCACCTGTAGGCATGCGACATCATGACCTGTACCAATACTAACTGCCAAATACACAGCACATTCAATGCCGGCATCAACGCCATCAGAAAGCTCAACAATGCCGGTGTGTACGACATTCACACGAATGTGATGCAGTACCCAACAACAATGCAGCCGACGCGGGCACGCATTGAGCAAGTCGCCCCAGAGGACGAGCAGGCCACCGCAGACAGCGCCATCTTCCCCCCAGTCCCTACAAAGATGGCGCGCAACTTCTTCGTTGCAGACACATACTTTGAGACATCATCGGCGGGCGTCATTTCGGCGTCTGCAGTGGACGGTACCGCAGGTTCACCAGACTTCCTTGCTTCTTTCCAGGGATTGAGTGCTGTATCGGATGAGATCAAAGACCTGTTGCCCCCGGAGTGTCGTGCGGCTTTCGATGGCGCCGTGGCAAAGGAGGCATCATATCGGTCAAAATGGGGCCCTGAGAGCGAAACAATGTCGCGCCGTCAACCCATTATCGACAAGGCAATCGTGCCCTACAGCATGAGTTGACGGCAGCCTAAGCTGGTAATGACATACGATTCCTTCGAAATGTGAACAACACCAACCGTGCAGATGCGGATGTAATACTATGGGTATCAAGTGATGCATTCTTTTTGACATTCAAGACGAGGCGAGATAGGGGTTGGCACACCTTGCTGGGATCTAGGCACCAGTAAGAGTGAGATGAAAACAATATGGGCGTTGGGTGTCATGGATAAACACTCGGAGTGGTTTTTGTTTCTATGGCTGCATCATCAGATGGTGTTCAATTGGGCCTTGAGAGTCAATGTATCATTCATATCAGGTAGAAGAACAAGTGCCTGTTCTCAGGCCTCTACCGATTGACAATCTGCATATACCAACCGAACGAATGACTTGGTATGACTTTGATGCTCTGCGTGAATCATTGACACGGATGCCCTCACGTTCTCTGTAGTGTTAGCTTGGGGAGCTTACCTTGCCGTGATGACCGCGTCTTTCTCCAGCCTCCGACTACGCTCCTTCAAACACACTTGGCTGCGGGCTGGACTGCCGGACTCGGCCTCTTTCTGCCTGCAGGTCACAATTCATTGGCACACGAAGAGCGGGACAGAAAATCAAGAGACTGTTTCCGCTCTCTCTGACGTCCGTGGTGGCCCCGTATGGCGAGATTCTAGCCTCTCGAATTTTCTTTCTTTCTTTGCAGGGCTCGTGATAGGTACGATCTCATGCTTCACTAGGAGTTTATTTAGCGACGATGTGGGTTTTGCGTCGGCCATGTCGTCGTCTGCCCCCGCCCTGACTTCGGTTGATTTTTTTTTTCCCTCTCTCTCTCATGTCATTGACCTCGTTTGGGTTTTTGCGTGGCTTGGGTGGATGCTGGTTAAGGCCCCCACGCGGATCTAATGGGTGCTTGATGAGGTGGGCTTGCAGGGCTCAATAGAAACGAGACGGTACCATGGAATGAGTGGCGAATTGCAACAACAGAGCAGAAGGCGACTTGAAGCGAGAGGGAACTTGTGACGAAGATTCAAGAAAGTAAAGTACACACAATCAGGGTCTTGATCGACATGCCTCTAGCTTGACTCAATGGACGCTTGTGACGCATGTTCTGCCCTGTTGAGCTGTTGTATTGATGACAGGAGGATGGCTTATTAACGATGTTCAAGAATGTTCAAGAGTGTAGTACGTATTGGCTGTGGATGGCTCCCTGAAAGAATACACTCTTATTATATGACGACATATGGGTGCCAGGGCAGTAGAATCGACGTGGACGTATCTGTAGCCCGTACCTATGTGTACTGTGTGTTGTTTGCCCAATCAATGGCTGACGTCCTTAACAAGGCTTCTGTTGGTGTTGCTGAGCTACTGAGTCCGTCTGGTACTGAAACTCGTCAAGCAATAACATATTATAATAAGCCCGACTTTTAGGCCAGCCACGAAATAGGTAGTCTCTGGCTTTTCTCTTCCAGTTTGAACTCGACGGCCAGAACAACAAGGATACAAGGCACCACCGTGTCTCTTCCAGGCAATTGCTCGTGATCATCCACGGTTGCCTCCAAAGTTGTCACGAAGTGATAATCATGACAGGCAGACGAGCTCCGGGGAACAGAACCGGGTCATGTTCGCTGGAACTGATGGTGTCCAGTTTCCCGGAACAGCAAGACTTGGATTGAGACTGGTCGAATGAAACCCGGATGAAACCCTACAGTACAGAACGCGTTATGATTCGATATAGGGTAGCAGCTGTTGCGAAGGTGACAAGACATGCATGGATATACAACCAACCCTCCCGCGTCGTCGGTAACCATGGGAGGCGCTTGAACTCGAATTCCAGAGGCACTTGACCACTGATAGATGTTTCTGTGTTATGCAGCTCACACCGCTCCATCCTTGCAAATGCCACACATCGGTGATGATCGCGTTGCAGCTACGACGGCGCTCGTTAATGCGGCTCATGACTACGACTGGTCTCGAAGCAACTGTGTGTATCGATATTCTGCTCGCTACACTACACCCAGCAAAGGCGGTTCTAGGGGTTGACGACCCCTGGGACTTCAAGTAATCATGCATACCCACCAGGCACCTAGCATCCCAAGATGATTACCATCTTCGGGATGCACGGTTCCTTCTCAGAGACTTGTCACTTTGTGGGAACATTCATCACCTTAACTCGCCCTGCACGATGCACAACACCGGCCAGTGCTTAAAGGCCCAAGCGCTTAGTGAGGGGTCGGCTCCATCATGGTCTGCTCAAAGCTATATTGGATAGGTAGGTTGATTCCTGTACGGATATACCTTGTAGAAACAGCGGCGGCTGTCACGCGAGTTATTGTAAAGAGGCGTTTGTTGCGGTCAAAACCCACAAGGGCTTCAGAGGTCATCCAACCCACTAGTCCATGCCCTAAGCAGCACGACCAAGCGAATCAAGAGAGTTGATGCTGGACATCGTCTCTCGATTCAGTAAGGTCGTGTGCTGCTGGGAGCTTTGAGATGCTGTGATACCCTGTCTGAACGTTCACAATACAGGTAGTAGGTGGCCATCTGGCAGAAGATACCTGTTGTAGTACCACCTGCAACTGCCATTCATCGATGTTAATGGATCTTCAAGGACCCTGAGAAATACAGAATACCTTAGAATGCCCAAACCATTGAATGTATCATACCACATTCGCACTAGGGCAAACAGACTCTTTCCCAACCAGCTCGCAGGGACCGACTCCATCACGATTAGCTCTGGGTTCAGTGGGTACCGACGTTAATCAACGCGGCTCCAATGGTCCCTGCTCACCATGCTCTGATTTATTAGTCCCACCAAGTTCCAACGCGCTCCAACCCTAGCAACTGATTGATGAATTCGATGTTAGTGAAACTGAGCTTCACAACCACCAAGTGCTGGGACTTTGTAGAGCGAGATGGGCTATCAAATGGTAATGATATCAAGAATATCATGCCACCCACCACTGCCACGGACTTATGACAACGCTATCATGTATTCCCCGGCCCGCTTGACACAACCAGACATATAGCACAGTGAATGAAGAACTCGATGGCCATAATCTGTGACCAGGACATGGCAACTAAACAAACTGATTCTCGGTTGTTGGGTAAGACCCTAGACCCGTTGCATCTCGTCCCGAGCTCGTTGATGTAGCATCACTAGACCAGGACTTGCCCTTATTCCGATTGCTCCTTCAACATGATCAATAAGATCCGTCATATAATTGAGTGGGCAGCCTTCCGGGGCAAACTGCCAGGAAGACGATGAGGGCTGTTGTATGGAGTAGATAATGGCAATTCAAATTGACGGAGACAACCACACCCGAGTCCATCCCAGCCGTGTTTAAAAGATGCATAGCATTAAACGATATGGCTTGACCTAGCCGTCTCTAGTAGAGAATGGGGTTCTCCTAGCCACATGAAACCAGAACTGAAGAAAAATTGCATGTCGAGAAAAGGTCAAGAACAAGCCGCCCATGTTGGCCATGTTTCGTCTCATCAATGGGAAATCAAAACCAAGCCAAGGCGCTCACATGGCAACCTGGCCAGGAGTCCCTCAGGGCTGTTCAGATTTCAGAATGACTGACCAGCTAATTTCCTGGGGGAGCGGCGCTACGTATTGGCTCGCCTGCGATTGCACTGGCTAGTGGATCCAAATCTCCTAGAGCAGGGCTTGGGCTGCTCAGCTTGTGGCATTGGTCCAAGACAACAGCGGTGAGCATCTTGGACGAAGAGAGCCTGCATCGCGTGCACCCACTCCAGTGCAGTTGTCGAACGAGTCGCTGGGTGAGAAGGGGTTTCGGATGCAGATTGGCCTAGACGCCCGCACTACTGTAGATTTTGCACAGCATCGATGGTGGGCTTGAGGCATTTCTCTCCGCATTCCTGGGTCAGGGAAAGCACTCGGCCCTAGATGGACCCCAGCTTGTTTGATGCAAGCAGCTGGTGACTGTGAGTAGATTCTGATTAACTATATGTCATGATAAGAGACGTGGTGCCATTGGCCGTGAAATCCTTCACCAAAGTGTCGCTTCCTTTCTGGGAGTATATGTATGTCAAGCCAGCTGTTATGCTTGGTGCATATCTCAGGATATTCGGGCGTATGTACATCCTACATCCCACAAAGATTCGAAGGTTGGTGGACCAGGCATATCAGGAAAATGTCAAATTAGACCAACGGTCTAATTCTCTTTAAGCATGAATGATGCAGCACATCCACCACAAGGACATGCCATTAGCCATGTCCTTCAAAAACAGCGAAAGGCTATTCTCAAAACTGAAGTGCGACAGATCGAAGAACCCTGGGTCCACATCGAAGGCGTGGCAGTCGTGGCTCTTCAGTATTTGACTGGTGGCAGCTAGTGTCTTGCATCATGGTTGTCTAGCTTGTCTTGAGAACGGTGAGTTCTTCTGATCGACGAGCAAGTGAATCCCTGCAGGCCCGCGGTATTTTCGTACCTGGACTACTGTAATAAATCTCTCTGCGTCGGTGGTTTGAAGGGAAGCGTTTCTGGAAGCACACCTCAGGAGGAAGAGTGGGTCACCATCAACTTGCTGCTTCACTTGAGCGGGAAGACATGAACCGACCAACCAGATATCGAGTAAAGGCTACCAGGAGGATCACGACTAGGACTGGCCGAGGCACCGAGACAGGCCGTTTCATGCCTCAGAGTTTTGTTGTTGTTTTGTTATTGTTGCTGACGTCGCTTGCAATCCATCATCTCATCTCATTTCTTTGCATTTGATTTGATTTGATTAATCAAACGCGGCCCTAAGACGTCCTGGCGTCTCAAGCTGAGCTACGTGTATAATGCGGATATTGCTTCACATAACATATTCCATCCAGGGATAAGACTCCGAACAGAGTGCAGTAAGAGAGTGCCTAATGTGGTTCTGATCGGCATTCGAGAGAATGATGGCAATAATTGTGATGGTCGCTTTCGTCCCCCTAGCTGCTAATCTTTTGGTTTTAAGTAGGATTAAAAAAAAGACATTTAGTAACGATGTAAGGTCAACAGCCCAGACGTGGT